CGTTAAAAATTTTAAATATTTAAAAAAATAAGTATTAAGATTTTTATTTTTTATATAAGAGGGGGTTGCATACAATTAGGTGCTAGTTAAACCCTCCAAATTGGATGTCATTATTCAGCTCTAACCTTTGTATTCTAATGAGTTTAAATTTGAAGTAAATCAAGTGATTTCACACATTAAATCTTTAAACGTGAAGATGACTTTGATTTCAATTTGCATTAAATGAAAGTTTATCGTTGCATTAAATTTGTAACTCGTAGTTAAATCTAATTTAAAACCATAGAAAACTGCTTACTGTGTGTAATATCATTGACTTTAATTTGTAGTAAATCATGGTTTACAGATTTTCTCTATATAAATGTTGATGTTGTATGTATATTAAACTTTGTTAAATTTGAAAATTACTGGACAGTTAATCAGCTTTTGATTCATGAAATTGCTGTGTCCAGTAAGCTATTTGTAAATACTATTAAACATTGCGTTTACTTTAACTATACTACCAGAAATTAAATAAACCCGGAAATAACGACTAACTTTCAAGTAGTTTATTGATACCTTAAATTAATACTTTCATGCAGTGAAGCAGGCGGAGAAATTTTCCCCAGATTAAGGCGTATGAGTTAATTTATGACTATATAAAAATAAGGAGATGTGGTATGATGTCCAAGGAGACAGCTATCCACTAAAGTTTAAATGAAGTGGCAGTAGGCAACCGCATGGCCTTCAACAATGAAAAGAGCCCATACCGTATAGTCGGCTATAAAATGCCCCGATATACACTGTTACAGTTAAACAAGAGGTTATTGGAAAACTACTCCATTTCGTGTACTGTATCACCTGTATCTGTAATTGTTGTTGTATAATTTATCAATGTGAATGCTTTCCCAGTCAATGTTTCCTTTTTTGTTATCTGCTAATGGATATGTTTTCCCACTCTTTTCTCTTCTTTATGTATCTGTAAGACGACATATGTCTTACTTTTGTGTGTCAATGGTATATGCAATCATTGTGTAGTGCATGGGGATTTTTCTCCTGCCTATGGAATTATTTTGATTATAATCTCAGTGGGGGATATTTCCCCAGACTACTGATTTCTTTTTGGTTATCATCTTTGTGGGGGTATTTCCCAAGTCTATTGTTTAATTTTTTGTTATAATCCTTCTGGGGAAAAATTTTCAGTCTTCTGTTAATTTGGTTACCATCTTTGTGGGAAAATTTCCCCAGTCTTCTGATTTCGTTTTGGTTCTCAACTGTGTGGGGACATTACACAGTCTATTGGTTTCGTTTTGGCTTTCATCTTTGTGGGGAAATTTCCCAGTCTATTATTGATTTCCTTTTGGTTATCATCTGTGTGGGGAAATTACCCCAATACTTGTTAACAAATTTCATAATTTCTATGTTTGTTGTACAACTAAAGTAAACCAATTATTCATATGTGGGGATTTTCTTCCAATTTGTTTTTGCTGTGTTATTTGATGCATTTGTAACAAACATGATATTAAAATGTTAGTTTCAATACTTTGATTAAACAAATGGGAAACATAAAAAAAGAGAATAAAATATAAATCCTCTTTTTCATACAGAATGCATTAAATGCATTTAATGATAAAATAAAATTGTGAGTAATTAGAATATGTATATGGTTTGATATTCCTTTACTTTATAGCGTCTTATGACTGTATTATTTATTATATTGTTATACTTTACTATAGCAACTACTAATAAAATAATTAAGATATTACTGTATGTTTTTATTCCTTCAAGGAAAATAACCCCCTTTTCCCGCGGCAAATATCGCGTAGGCAAAACAACGGTTCTGGAATCTGCGCGTAGGCAAAATAACTGTTTGGGAATTTTCGCGTAGGCAAAATAACGGTTCGGGAATAACCGCGTAGCAAAAATAGCTGTTTTTGGCGCACATTTCCTCGTCAAAATAATAACAAGCTATAGAGACGCTTGTTTACCTCTGGAAAATATGGCGGCCGCCTCAGCATTTTGCTCATTCTCGGAACAGAAAACATTTTGAGACACAAAGACTCAAAAAGCACTACACAAGCTACAAAAGTTGCGTTAATATGCTTGAATGAGTATGCAATACGTACAGATCTATGAGAAATCTTGATTTTTCTAGTTACAGTCGAGAGGAACTTTTATCTCAAATTTTTATGTTCATTCAAAGAAAATTATATCTTTGTATTCAGTTCAGTATAATAATACAGTTATGGCCTGTATGAAAAGTAAATATCCTATGGACCTCGAGGAAAATAACCTTTCCTCGATTTAATAATTTTGGATATTAACTTTTCATGAAGGCCATAATTGTATATTATTGACCGATGTCATGGTAGAGGGTCTTGATGGGGATTAAGCTTGACAAATTGTGGGAATTCTTAAAAAAATCTGGCTGTTTCAATCTGCAAACAAGTTTTCGCAGATTATCGTATACAGCACCAATCACATAGCTCGGACGGAAAATTCATTAATGGATATACATCTGCAGAATATGTTTTGTTTTCATTGAAAAGAGGGAGATGTACCAAGGATCCAATTAAAAACCATAAGTCGAATAAAAACAGACAACACTATAAGTCTTAAGTTCGCTTCCGATATAGATGTATGCACATGTACCACATCGATGATCCTTGCATTTCGACACTTGGAAATGTTTTTCCTCTCTGTCTGGTCGCATTTTGCATGGTTCAATAGGCGTTTTTAGTTTTTTGGTTGCCATTTATCTTGTATCAACTTTTCTGGATGTATTAGGGTACTTAATTTTGAATTTTGTCCAAGAATTTGTTAGTTTCTTCTCGCTACGGAAAACATATTCTGGTTGCGAGGATTGTGTGTGACAACAAACGGTATCTTATCATTTTCGGTAGATATTTCGCGTGTTGTCCGTAGTTGTACATCGGGATTTGTTTAGCCATTGCAATACCTATTTTACTTAGGCTTTGCGGATATATTTGTGAAAAAGAAATGTTGTACGTTCTTGTAATCGTTCATCCCTTACTGTTGCATCCTCAACTTCTGTGCATATATTTCTAGCAAGACAGGAGGGTATTATTCCTTTTTGTATGTTCGGGATGGCAAGAATGAAAATTTAGATATCTCGGAAGCAAACTGAAGACAGAATCTGGACAAAAAATATATGCTAATATAAAGATGACGTGTGAAAGTGGAAATTTGATATACTATATTGAATGCTGCGGCTGCAAAGAAATATACTTCGGTCAAACCCTTTCATAATTATATAATGACGTTACGTACCTAACTACCGTCTCATAGTTACAATTAGTCGCCTTTCACCTGAATATTGTTGTTGAAACATGAAAGTACTTGTGAATATCAAATAATATATGCATGATCCGGCAATATTGGACTACAAAAATACAAAATAGTCTTTCGAATTCGCTGTTATTTTTAGTTAGGATGACATTGTCACTATAGTACAACTCATACCCTTTTGATACTACTACGGGGGTGTTTAACGACCTTGACTACACATGATGGTCACTCACGGTCGGCTCTGGTTTACGCCTTGATGGGCATTTGAATAAATATTTTTATCGCACGGTATTTCATATAACTTAAGAGACACAAATAAAATATAAATTTGAACAACAAACAATAGAAAGAAAGACAAAATAATTTGATAGGTAAACAGATATAAATCAATGAATAAAATCAACCTTCATGTCCGAAAAACAAATGGTTATCCAGATAACGTATGTGTCGAGTCAACCTCAATATCAGGAGCACAATTGATAATCAATATATCGCATTTGTCGTGTCAGCCTCATTGTCACTGAACAAATTACTATACCTATAACAAATATTTTGAGTCAAGCCTCAATGTCAAGAGAACAAATGGCCACCCGATAACGTACATGTCAAGTACATCTCACTGTCAGGAGAACAACTGGTCATCTCTGTAACTAATTTGTCGAGTCAACAAAATCGACAGGAGAAAAAAATGGCAACCTAATAACGAATGTGTTGAGTCAAATTCAATGTCTGCACAGTCAGGGAAACAAGTGGTCATCTAATGACATATGTGTCAAGTATACCTCACTGTCAGGAGAGCAAATGGTCATCTCTGTAACGAATTGTCGACTCAACTTCACTATCAGGAAAACAAATGGTCATTCCTATAATTAATTATTGTCGAGTTAATATTAGTGTCAGAAGAAAGTTGAGTCAACTACTCTGTCAGAAGTACAAATGACTATTCCGATAACGTATGTTTCAGGAAAATATTACTGTCAGGATAACAAATAGCCACCACTTTAATGTATGTGTCGAGTCAACGTCGTCAATGTCAGAAAAACAAATGGTAATCTCTATAACGAATGTGTCGAGTTAACCCCATTATCAAGAGAACAAATGGCCATTAATTACGTATGTGAAGAGTCAATATCACAGAAAAGAGAACAAATAGCCAACCCGATAACATTTGTGTCGAAAATACCTGACTCTCAAGAGAAAAAATGGCAATCCCAATAACGTATGTGTCGAGACAAACTAACTGTTAATAGCACAAATAGTCATTCCTATGACGTATGTGTCGAACCAACCCCGCTAAATGGAGAATAAATGATCATCCGTATAACATATTGTTGAGTCAAATGCACTGTCTATAGAAACAATGCTAATCCCTATAACGTATAAGTCTAGTCAACTTCACTGTCATGATCACAAATGGTCATCCCTATAACGAAAACGTCGAGTAAACCTCACTCAAGAGAACAAATGAACATCCCTATATCGTATATCGAGAAAACCTCACTGTCAGAAGAACAAATACAAATCCCTTTAACTTATGAGTCGATTCAACCTCACTGTCAGGTGAAAAACAATGAGCACTAAGGTAGCTCTATATATCTCTCTTTGATTATATGTGTTTTTTGGTTGCTGTCTCATTTACATTACCTCACAACTTCTTTCATTCGTTCAATGTTATATATCTTAATTATTAACATAAATTGTAAAGTATGTCTTACTTGAACACCGCAACTCCCTCTGTGTTAGATAAAAGTTTACTATTGATGCAAGTCCAATCGTCTATTGTTGTCCCATAAGCATCTAAATGGATGACGGAATTCTGTAGCGTTGTAGTTCCGATGATCAGAGTTGTCGAATGTTTTAAATTGTCTGATACTTTTGTGTAATTATATTCCCATACTCCATTCTGCATAGGCAAATAACAAGTAGCGTCTGAAAAAAACATAATGTCAGACCTCATAAACTAAACGAATTTGCACAAAAGTAGATCACGTGGTTGCCAAAAAGAAAAAGAGACATGGATGCAAAACTTAGACAGAATAAATCGTAAATAAACTTCCTATTATTTTCGTGAAGGACATTTTGTATGGATCCCATGAACAAAAGCTGGGGAAAAAGAGACGATTTGAAAGCCTAAATGTAAAATCTCTCGAGGTAACCCAGTCCTCTCGTCAACGAGTGTGACAAGTAAGACATCTAATTCTTCACAGACTTGCAGGAGGAAATCAAGTTGAACTACAATTGAAGGTTGTTTGGTTATCTTTAGAGAAGGGTTTTTTCTGTTGATACATGTATATTGCTGTCTCAATGATATAAATTCGCATCTTTTACTCAAATTTCCTGAATGTTCCATACCGAGCGTTTATTTTTACCGTTCCTGAAAAATGTTTAATTGAAGTTCTATGATTATGGATTAATAAATTATAAGCATTACATTTTAGCACACTGAATAACTGGCTACGTGGGGGTATCAGTTAATGTCCGTAATCCAACGGCAAAAATAACCAAAATACATCTGGAGGGTAACATAAAAAGATGAAGTTTTAACATTTATAGACATATGTATACCAAATAAGAAAAAATAAAACGAAGTCTATAATAGTTGAAAATAATTCAACAGTCAATGTCACAGAACTGTTGTAATTTCCTTTTCTTCGAATTACAAAGAATGCCACAAGATATGATTATGTAAAAAAGTCAATCACTGGCGAGGTTTCTGATTTGGTACAGGCATTTTAACATATAACTTTTTTTTTAAAAGATTTTAACACTCTACCCTTTTTAAGTAGGGTAAAAATTGCCTTATTTCTTCTAATATTTTAAACTGTTTTACTTTAATCAATCTGTAAAGGATTCATTTTGAACATTTATTTCCACCTTTGTACACAATTATTATCTGCACTTTGTAAGTCACATGGCGATAACGGGATTTGTTAGTTTTAAGTTGGTCAAAAGACTCGTTTTAGCCCAATTTCAGCAAGGTTATCACCCCAACTCCAATATCAAATGGTCGTCATTGTTATATAGGAAGAATAAAGTTGTTGAGGTGATACATTTCATTTGTATGATTGCATATTATTAGAGTGCTTTCGTTAGAGCAAGTGGTGCAGGTCATGTAACATGTCATTCTCTTCATTTACAAGGTTTCAGGTTTATCATCTCTTTTTAAACTGGTTCATTTGTCTCTGTTTTACAAGCAGATTCTTGTTATCTTATGATGGAGGGGAAAACCACTGTCATTCTCATTTGTTATCGTTGTAATTGATAATCATTAAAGACAAATAAAAAAAAGTTGACATCGGTTTCTGTTAGAAGGTTAAGTGGAGACAATGTAAAGTAAAAAGTAGAAAGTTAATTAACCCTTTCTCTAGTTAATTCGCAAAGGACCATGTGTATTTACAAAGTATAGTAATACTACGGTTCAAATATCAATTCATTTTACAAATAAAAAGTATAAAACACAAATACGATATTATCTGGTTACCTGGGACTTATTTTTTGAAAATATCTATGTTTGACACGAACAATACATGTATGGTATGATACTGAACCCCTAACGGGAAGGATTGTGCCTGATATTCATATGATGAAGACATAATCTTTCAATCAGTTTAATTGAAGTCTGGAGCTGGCATGTCAGTTAACTGCTAGTAGTCTGTTGTTATTTATGTATTATTGTCATTTTGTTTATTTTCTTTGGTTACATCTTCTGACATCAGACTCGGACTTCTCTTGAACTGAATTTTAATGTGCGTATTGTTATGCGTTTACTTTTCTACATTGGCTAGAGGTATAGGGGGAGGGTTGAGATCTCATAAACATGTTTAACCCCGCCGCATTTTTGCGCCTGTCCCAAGTCAGGAGCCTCTAGCCTTTGTTAGTCTTGTATTATTTTTAATTTTAGTTTCTTGTGTACAATTTGGAGTTTAGTATGGCGTTCATTATCACTGAACTAGTATATATATTTGTTTAGGGGCCAGCTGAAGGACACCTCCGGGTGCGGGAATTTCTCGCTGCATTGAAGACCTGTTGGTGGCCTTCTGCTGTTGTCTGTTCTGTGGTCGGGTTGTTGTCTCTTTGACACATTCCCCATTTCCATTCTCAATTTTATGCAATATACATTGTACAAAACTTGCAAAAGCTTTGTGATTACCTCTGTTGCAAACACATAATTATATAATGAATACAGAAATAAAAAAATAACAAATATACAATCCTATATGGGGAAATCCGTTTCAGCCTCCTAAAAATTTACATATGGATATACTTTTAGACACACCGATATATACATATTTTATCAAATTGAATGTGTTGTCAATAATCCTTGTTCATGTATGGTTTTCTTCAAACGGAACAGGTTAATATCTGTGTTGATTATCTCAATTTGATACGATAAGAAAAAATATCCAATATCTTATGAACATACAATATGCATGAATGTGTTTTTTTTTTAAATAACTGACAAAGACTGACATACACATGAACAGTTTTAAAGGAAATTATTCGAATAGAGAGAAACCAGTCAGCATATATGGACAAACATGATTAATAGGATACTAAATTTGTTATCCAAAATACCGACTATCCTTCTTTATGAGTTGCAATACAATATATAAACAATTTGTGAAACATCAAATTGCAAATGGTCTTTCCGAATCATGTCACTGAATTATGGGAGGCCATATTACCAAGGTGATGTGGAACAATATTACCCTAAATAGTATTACGGACTTTCATTTTCAGCAATAAAACATACCTTACTAGTTTAAGTTAATGCCTAACAAATATGATGAAGAAAAATGAATGTTATTTGAAAAATCACAATGCAAAATAAATAAAATGCTGTATGAACGAAAGCCTCTTCAATTTAATTTTAATTTGTTATTATAGGGGAATTAAAGTAAATCAAATATTAAAGTTAAATGGCTGTTAAAAAAATTTAGAAATTGGTAAACAAATTTAGGCAAATGTATTCATAAATTTATTTCTTGAGATATGCCATAGTATTGCAGGCATTTGTTTTCAAGTAGAATTTCGAAGAAAGATATGTTAAAATTGTCGTAACCACAATGCAGTCCTCTTTTCCTCGAAAGTGACGTACCGAACTAGAACAATCACAGGTTTTGTACTTGCATGAGCAACACGACGGGTGCCACATGTGCAGCCGTATCTGCTTACCCTTCCGGAGCACATAAGATCACCCCAGTTTTTGGTAATGTTCGTCTTGCTGAGCCTTTAGTTTTCTATGTTGTGTTATATGTACTGTTGTTTGTCTTTTAATCCTTTTTACGTTTTTATTGGCATAGCATTGCCAGTTCGATTTCGACTTTTGAGTTTGAATATCTCTTTGGTATCTTTCGCTTCTATTTTACATGGACAACCGAGGCTCTCTGTTTTTCAGAAGATTGATTCTCCCTTTTTTTCACTGAGAACGGACAGTTTCTTGTGATTTGTTGTTGTGAATTAACATACAGCAATTAAAGAAAATATGTGTGTCTAGTCTATTTAATGGACTGTTTAAGTGAGTAGCTGCTAATTAATGGTCAAGGTACAACACATGTATCAACTACTTGTACTTGAGTTGCATTATCGATTGTTACGGCCAGAAATCACCTTTAAATTGTAGCCAACAAAAGACACAAATCAATAATAACATTTAGCAGGATTTATTATACACAAGTTTACAATAAGTATTACACAAATAGAAATGTCAACTTAACTGTCAAAATATATATCCGATCCTGTTGTCTTTTCTTTATCCGGAATTCTTCGCGGGAATCCAAACAGAATATTATGTCCAATAAGTCACAATCTAGTATGTTGTAGTTAAAGTAGATAAAAATGTCAATCCAACTGAGAGAACTTCTGAATATGTTAATGTCTGATCTGTAATTTCGGTATCTGTATATATAGTTGTCACGGTAACCTCTAGAACACTGTAGAAGGGAAACTCAAAGAAAACTCTGGAACGGAAACTTCTAGAATACGGTAGATGTTAAAATTACACATTGTAGATTATGATCATTCCAGAATTATTAAGTAAGTGAAATAGAAAGTTCTAATCATTCCAACAGTATCTATGATTGTTCCAGTGATTTCTAATCTGTACAATTATACCAATATTTTGTAAACAACTATAAGGCCACACAAAACAAATTAGGCCATGATAAATAAATATAATAATTACAATATCATAACACAGTAGATTTTAATTAATAATGGGAATAGTATGTCTTGTTTTTGTCATCTTTACTTACAATTTAACAATGATAAATGCTTCCATCAGAAGTTAGGCTAGTTATTTGAAGTACATGTCATGTGCTTTTTCATCGTTTCAAGTAAACAAAGATTTTGATTGTGCCCATACAATTTGTGTGTTCTAAAAGCAAAAAATGTTGCCGATCTTTACAAATAATGTTAATCTGTAACCATATATGACAACTAAGTATTTATAAAATACACCTTACTTTCGTTTTCTTAATTTGCTCTGGTGTACAAGATGCAAACATCCATAAAACAGTCTGATAACCTCTTAAAATAAGGTCCATAACATGAGTCAACATGCGCAATTTTAATTAATTCAGTTATGAGGTAGTTGTACCATTTTCGTCAAATCTTCTTCCAATATCATATACTTGGCTGAGTAAAGTGCCTTGTTTCAAAGATAGGAACATTTCAACATAAGTGGTTAAATTTTCGGGTTACTAAATGAGCTTCCTTCGTCTATAGTTTTGCATACCCCGAAAAGCCCTTTGAAAAATTTCACTATTTTCACACAAAAACAATCTCAGTTCTTTTTATACATTTAGTTTTTACATTTAATTTCTAAGGTTCACTGTTCTTCAAATTATTACAAGTTGTTAAGTAACTTTTTTAAAATTGCAAGAAGTCCAATTTCACTGCACAGAGGTTTTTTGTTTACAAATATATTTCAGAACCCTAAATTGAGGCGCATTAGGGATATTGACCCAATTGATGAGACTACAACTTGCTGAATTATGTATAAAGATATAGTATGATATTTAACGTTTGATTTTACATTTTAAAATACTTTATGCGACTCTCATATTATGTGAGTAGTAAGGAGTAAGGTGTGAAGGGCATTGATTCAACAATATTTAAAGGGAATCGTAAACAGAAAAAAAAAACACGATATCCGACTGAAACAAATTAGAATGTATGTAGACAATTCAAAAATAAAACAAATTTGAAAGGAAAGTAAGTTTCCTGGAATTTTATTAACACTTAATTCAAATAGATGATAATGATTCGTATACACTGGAAAACTTTAAGGGCGGCGATGTTGAATTGATACCGATGTTCAAATCTCGTAAATCTATTTGACGTAATGGTATATATTTAATTAATATTTAAAAAAATTATGATTCTTTGATAACTTGTAAATAATAACACAATAAATCGGTGGGGGCATCGGCTAAACAATATATTTCGAGAGAAAAACAATAACTGAAACAAATTGATTAAATACAGGTCGACAATCCAAATTTATCCGAATAGTGACTAAAACATTAAATGTTATTTATGTCGTGTATATGAACAACCAAGATAGTTTTGAGTTAACTACAATCTTTTTGTGGCGTCATTGAGTATTAAAACAATCATTTGGAGATGGTGCTGCACTGTTACTTCAGACCAAACTTCTTTCAAAATTTTAGATTTAACTGTTGTCTGTTACGGTTGAGGTAAACCTTAGATGAACAAGGGTTATGACAAAAAAACGTCCAAAAATCTATCCGTGGTTCGAAAAATATATCGTATGTTAGTTTTTAGAAGCAAGGTCAACCTGAAGCGGATTTGAAGCGGATTTCTGCAGTTATATTAGATTGTATTTTTGTTATTTTTGGGTTAAAACTAATGGATAAAATATCCCTTTTTCTCCTTTATATATTTATTTTTAACAGAGGTAATGACAAAGTTTATAAAAAATTAACATGATTAAGGTGAACATTCAAATTATGTTAAGATAAAATACTAAGCAAACATTTTAATTCTGTTTAAATAAAATACTATGCATGTGAGTGTTAAATCCAGTTTAACTAAATCTAGCCTCTGTCTTAACAATAAATTAACATTAAATAAATTTGGCTGGAAAATAAAACAGATTTCCAGGAAACATATTAACAATAAATTTTAAAAAGTTTACAATGATATGTATATAATGGTAAACTTTATGAATTGACAATGTGCATACGAAATATTTTTTAGCGATACATTATGTACTGCGCAACAATACTGTGTTTATATCGCAAGAAAATAGAGGAATTATGTGTGTCTACTAAGTATCATGAAATATTCCTTCGGCTTTCGATCGACAAATATTCATTTTCCCACAAAATACTTTTTTTTATTTTATTGTAATTTGTTTAAAGATATTTAAAGTAGAAACAACATCAGTTTTCCGATGTTCAAAACTAACGTTATATTCTTCAACATGTATTTTAACATTTTAGATAGATTATGTTTCTTTGATACAAAACAGGCTAAAACTAATTATAATACAAATAAACAAACTAACATTATTCAAATAGTGACTCATATGATCAATATTTGATGGGTCATATCTGTTCAGGTATATGCATAAAGCAGATGATCATGAATTTATGACACACTTCGTCGCGACATTCAGAATTCAAACTATCATTTTGACAAGCTGCATTGTAATTGCAAACCCAACTTTTTAAATACCTTTAAAGGAGTACTTACTAGGTTCTCGAAGGGTAAATGGTGGTTCTATAATTCAGTGAAATTTAAATTCAGTTATAATGTAATAATAGTAAACATCTGATGACAAAATATCTTAAAATAGTGTAATGACTAATGTTTTGGCGAAATTTTTTGTCAGTACTGTTTAAAACACACATTATGTGATTTTTGTTGTAATCGAATACCTGACAATACAGATATTTACCTGTTCCTCTTGAGGTAACAACAAGGATTAATGATAACACATTAATCAAATTTATCCGTACGTCCATGTTTAGAAAGTAAGTCCTAACTGAAGCGGATTTCTGCACTTATATATGATTGTATTTGTTTTGTTGTTTTTTGTTAACTTAATGAAGAAAATATCACTCTTTCATAATTTTATACGCGTTTGTAACATGTTTAACACAGGTAAAGTTTGTCAAAATATTTAGGCTAACATTTAAATTCTGTTAAGATGAAATATGATACATGTATGTACGAAATCGAATAATCAACAAATAGCCTCATTACAAGGAATTAGCCTAAAATAAATTTGAATTGACAATAAATGTTATTTCTCGGAATTGTATTGACAATAAGTGTGTGTTTTATGTCGATCTGAAGTGTCAATTTGTTACCAACTGATAGTCATGTTCTTCCACGTTTTGAGGAGGAATGAGCACTCGCAAACATGTTTAACCTCTCCATAATTTGTATCTGCATGTCCAAAGTCAGGAGCCTGTAATTTCGTGGTTGCCGGTTGTTGCTGTATATCATATTTCGTAAATCAGGTCGTTACTTTTGTCGTTGAATTTTTTTACATTTGACATGTCGGGTCCTTTAATAGATTGCCATCCGGTATGCTTTTTGCTGATTGTTGAAGGCTGTACGGTGATATAAAGTTGTCTAAATGGCAATCATACCATATCTTCTTATTTTTACAATGACTTATTTATTAATTGTATTGGTTTCGAAACGTTGTCTTTTGAAATTTTGGTTTGGGTCTGACAGAAAATTTAGGGAGTAAATAGTTATTGCATTGTCCGTCTGTGCATCCTTCCACCAGTCTGTGATCCCGAAACAAATTCTTTGTGGACGTTTGTTTTAGTTTTAAATACATGGTATTTAATTGATACAGATCTAAAAAGAGGAAACTAATAGTTATATCATGAACAATAGGTCAAAGTTCATGGTCACTAAAAATATATCCTTTTTTTTTTAGTAGAATTTTCAATTTGTTTTCGGAGGGTAACATGATGTTTTTCTTGCTTGACATAACAAAAAACCAAACATCTGACAATAGAAGATAAAGAAAGGGAAACGATGCTTATAGATTTAGGGTTCAATTGATCAGAGTGTCGGGTAACTGTTACTAAAAGAAAATGGTAGATTGATTGTCCCTTTCTTGATTAAAATAAATCTGATAAAAATGGAATACATAGGGACTGGGAAGACACTTATTGATTTTTTGCTCAATATGCACTTTTATAAACGATAGTCAGTTATTGTAAAAGTATGTTTCTTTGAAAAAAATGAATGAAATACACGAAAGATCCTATACATGGATTTATAACATTCCAAGTCAGCACTATGGCAGTTGTTTTTCATTCGTTTGATGTGTTTGAGCTTTTGATTTTGACATTTGATAAGGGACTTTCCGTTTTAAATTTTCCTTGGACTTCGGTATTTTTGTTATTTTACTGTTTATTTTATATTCGCCCCTTCGGTCCTTCATGCCTATCTGATGTTTCATGCCATTTTAGGCTTAGGATTAGAGTTTGTTTTGAATTTGTGCTGTTACAAGACAGTCCAAGGTTAGGGGGTTGAACTTTCACGAACATGTTTATCCTCGCCACATCCTTCATGTTCCTGTCCCAAGTCAGCGCTGCAGCTGGTAATTTATTGGTTTTCGTTGGTTGCTCTCTGACATATTTTGATTTTTATCGTTCATTCTATGGTGATCTCGTTTCTATTGTAAATAGATGTTGCTCATGTTCTAATTAATCAATGCTATTTCAAACAAATGTACGATCAAAATTGAGTAATGTGTGCAAATGAAGTATCATGCAATTTGTATTTGACTGTCAACCGCCAATAATCCGTTTTTCCACAACAATCAATATTATCATTACATTGATCGTTTATGTCTTTAAATTAGAGGCATGAATTGTGTACTGATTTTAAAATCTTGTCAATGGATTTTGATTATCGAATCGGAGCGAGACTGGGTTTGTAGACGTGATAACCATATCATGATATATGCACTCAGTCAAAGTGTCAAAACAGAGAATTGAACACAATCGATCAGTTTCCAAACCAAACGACTACCCTGGTTGGTGACTGAATATCTTATACCATGTCATCATGTCCCTTGTGGGTTGAGACGCAAATACATGGTATCAGTCAACTAATTTTTGACGTGATCGTAGAATTTGTGTTTTGTTTACTTCTTCTCGTCCTGAACATGCTTTAAATATTTGGCACCGGGCGTAAAGCAAACACTTATCAATCAATCTATCAGGATGGTTCACCTGTCAACTAAATGTATAATGTATACTTTGGATTTGTGTAATAAACATTGCAAGAATGTTAGGGAAGATGATTTTGTATTGAAGATTTTCTCAGTAATGAATAAAAGGCTGTATTAGATAAAATTCTTATTAGAGATTGAGGAGAAGAGAGGATACCAAAGGGTCCTTGGGGATATGACAATTAAATCAAAATATCGCTCGAATACAGAAATTTAAAATGCAAAAGTACATCATGTTTAACTAAAGTTTCATAAAACTTTGTCGAGCGGTTCAGGAGCAGTAGCGCATACAAAAGGGGGTAGGACTTGTGACAAAACTTACGGACGTACATTCCCATCACTATATATTACTGCGCCAGGAGTGGGATGTATAAAAGAGTATTGGAATCAAAATTGCGTGATTGAAACAGAAATTTGATTTAAATCCACGTTGGAGAGTTTTTGTTATATCACCTTTTCAAACATATTCACAGATGTAAAAACTAAAACCGATAACAAGCACACACTTAAGTCAAAGCATGAATAATTTATAAGGGTATAAAGATTACATTGTCGATTAAAAGTTACTTTGGTTTAAACATCAGTGTTTTTCTGTATTATGAAGAGACCGCGACTGATCTGAAATCTGACGGTCCTAATTTATATTTATTGGGGCTAGAGATCGTTAGAGCGCAGCCCATATTGGTGAATATACCTAATTCGTCTCAAAATAGAAATAGAAACTAAAAACCTCTGTGCAATGGCATTAAACATAGTGATATTTCAATGTTTAACTTAGCTTAACCATTAGTGTTTTTTAAGTACAGAAGCCCATACAATAAAGATGTAAGATCTTTGGAGTTTTAAAATAAAGTACGTAATAAATTTGTGTAAAAAGGTGAAATTTAGATCGCATGACAAGGGGCCTTTCATGGTTTAAAATTTTGGGGAAAGATTAATCACACTTCGTACCCCGAAATTGTTACCACTTCTGTGAAAACATTTCAGCTTCAAATAAACTCATCATACATTTCAGGATTAACATTTTGTACACCAGACGCAGGTTTCGTCTACAAAAGACTCACCAGTAACGATTGAATCAAAAAAGTTAAAAATCCAAAAAAAGTTCAAAGTTGAACAGCATTTAGGACCCCCAATTCTGTAAGGTTACAGCTATCGTAATATATTCCTTGGGTAGATAATTCTTTGTTTTCCTAAAATGTAAAGTTTGGTACACAGTTAATTAATAATTATGTCAATATCAATGATAACTCGTGTTAAAAATAAAGTGCTGACTACTTGGCTGGTGATTCCCTCGGAGAGGAAGTCCCACCATCAGTGGCATCGAACCATTTGTTATAAATAAACCCATCATAGATATCAGCATTACAATTTTGTACGCCAATGAACACCATTCATATTTACGTTTAGAATATGGCCGGAGGAATTTAAGAAAAGGGCACAATTGCCGTCTACCTGAAATGAATTGCACATATCAACCCATTAAAACACGGAATTGGACAAACCAGAATTGTGACGGAAAGTTTCTGGCTCAAAACTAAAAAATGCGAATGTAGTCAAAAATGGGAGTTGAAGGCATTACATAGATTTTGTTCGTGCCTAAAAAGGAGGTAGTGTATGCATAAATAGTACATATTGTCGTAATGAAATAAATAAGGAACGGAATGGTGTAGGATTTATGTACTTGAAAATGAATCTATGAATATAACGATTATGAGACAGAAACTCGCCGATTTATGTATTGGTCGGCAATTTCAATGTTTTCTATATAGCCTGAGAGCTATGACGTTTCACGGACCCAGAAAATCCGTAATAGGTCGTCAGATGTTAGAAAAATCTCGGACTTTATTTTAAATAACTCTTCCAAGACGTACAGCAAAATAAATTATGCAAAGAAACTTAATCAACAAATAAATAGTTATATATATACCAACATGGTGTGCATGAAGATGACATAACAAACAATAAGTTACGTGCACATATACATGTTTGTCAAATGGTTCATTAACTTTGACCACATCCTTTTAAAGTCCTTCAGAAAATGTTGTACCGATTACTATTTATTTCTGTAGAAAGATTTACAATGACATAATAATGCCTGTTTTTAGTAATTTAAACTAGATAATCGGTACATATACGATAGAATGTTTGTCTTAGTACGCACGGTTGGTATTACATAGGCAATATTAAATAGATGGAATTAAATAAAGATGTGAAGTATATGCGATATGTTTATTAGTACATTCTTAGAAATACATTTGTAATATAGAGCACATCCAAAAATGATACATAAAAAGTTCGTGTATTTTGTGTATATCGATGTACTGGCAAAGACATATTTTTTGTGACGCTTGGTCATTTGGTTTTCTATGTTGTGTTTTGTGTACTGTTGTACTGTTGTTTGTCTGTTTGTCATTTTCTTTTTAAGCCATGGCGTTGTCAATTGTTTTTCGACTTATGAGTGTGAATGTCCCTTTGGTATCCTTTGCCTCTCTTTTACACACTCTCTATATATTTTTATATCCAAACAGTGTTTTTCTTCAAAACAAAAATCTTAAACATCTCGATTAATGTCGTCACTTTAATGACATACGTCCCAGTCAAAAGGTGTCATCAATGCTTCAGTTGGCTAATATTTCCATTTTATGAAAGCCTTTCTTCTAATGCTTTAAAAAACATAGTATCTTACATTGTTTAATATCTGGTGACTGTAATAGGCCAAATTAGCCCCAAAACGTACATTATCCAGTGGACCTATGATTTTAATACATGCGGGGCTTACCATTCTTTAATCATTCTTGTCTTGCAAACTAAAACTGTGTTACGAAAAGAACAAACTTCCCTTCAAACAGAGAAAAACCTTGAGATTAATTTTGAATAAAAATGAAAGTATTACAATTGACTAATTC